GCCCATCATCAGCACCAGGTGAAACACAGAGCAGGACAGACAGGCATACCTCAGAGCAAATTAAGACCAACATTGTTAATATAAAAGAGGAGAGCATTGTGTTTATGTGTGTATTTACATGTATGTATCATTTTAATTCACCTTGAGCCATCAGGCTGTTATTTTAACAATAGTCTTCACTGTGAATCACTTTGAGTGTCAGGAGTTGCTTTTGAAAGAAGCAATTATTGTACATTCCATATTGTACAAGTATGTTCTGACCAGAAACCTTTTCCAGATCATGTTTATTTTGTTAGATCTATGTAATTAGGTTAGGTCTATATTTAGTCATACAATGTGAGTACAAGTAAAAAACACTTCTCGAGAAATTGCTATAGGCTACATCTACGAACAACGCAGTAATAACCCAAAATATAGCATTAGCGCCCTATTGGCCCCCCCTAAAAATAAAACCTAGAATCGCCACTGGTTATGGAATGTAGTTTGAAGGTTAGAAAATGCCAGTTGTCTCTATTTAAAATTCAATTTGATGAAATTAAGGTGGCCATAAAGTGACTGGGTATGAATACTTTCTGAAGCAACTAAATATACTGAGTGTTTTGTGCCGTGGTATCCACTCTCATTCAATAAAACACAACTCCTGTGATTGATTCAGCTTTCAGATCTTTTTAATGAAGGCAAGTATAGAAGAGAAAAGATTTTCCAACAGTTAAAGTTCAAATGGTCTATTATTGACCCAGAATATTGTTAGGCAGAATTTAACACTGGGCTAGAGGCTGTACAGATGAGACAGCAGTGTTTACTCTATACTGATCTGTGGACATTTAAATCTTATCCATAAGGAAATTGCAAATAAGTAGCCATCAGCTTTTGAAGTGAGAGTAATTAGGTCACTTGAATCATTTTATGTCATCTGAATAAAAAGGGTGACTATATGGTTCAAATGTGAGTTTCTCAAACTATGCTTTAACAAAGGACCAGGGATCTACATGTGACATTATTTTCCAGGTGTTGAGAGTATATGCACAGTTGTATACATATACACACTGTATGTTTCAGGATTAGTTGTGTGAAATACAGACTAGTTATTAAGTGCTAAACAGAAGGCCTTTAATTTACCGCTTAACACCATCCAAATGCCCCTCACTATCTAATTTGAAAACAAAGAAATCACATTCATATCCTCAGCAGAACACACAGAAAAATATACTTCAACTGGCTCTCAGCAAGACAAAAAAAAGAATTTTCTAAAATAAATTTCACTTCAATTTGGCCATGACAAAACACATACATGATTCTTTGAAATAACCCGAAAAATGATAAGACGTTTTCCTATTTCTAACAAGCATAGTGGGATAGGGTAGAGCTCGTCTTACTTTTCTCACATGTATGAGCTTGGTACTCCAGCTGGTTAAAGTCAGCTGTCTATTTCTGCTGTGTCCTCACAAAAAAAGGCTTGCAGAGCCTTCCCCCTGTGGATGTACTTGAGGGTCTCTATTTCACCGCCACTGTTGCTGGGCTTTTGAAAATGGATCTCCAGGTGGTCCTGCAGGTCCTCCTCATCCACCATGTCCTCAATGTCATCTAGCAGGATGGTTCGCTTGGGACAGCCACAAAAGGTCTGAAATCAACCCAAAAGATCAGCCTTATTGTCACTCTGCAGTGCTGCACAACTTGTCTCATCTTCAGTCATATTGAATTTTTGAAAATTAAATTAGGTGCAATGTCTGCTTGAAAAAAGTTTGGTCTATGATAAAAACTGCAGAGAGCTCAAAAGCCTTGATTTGTGTGCCAGAGGTACACATACAGTACCAGTCAGAAGTTTGGACACACCTTCTCATTCAGTGGGTTTTAATTATTTTGATGACTTTCTACAAAGTAGATTAATACTAAAGACATCAAAACTCTGAAAAAATACATCTGGACCTATGTTGTAAACAAACAAGTATTTAAAAAAAACAGAATATGTTTTATATTTTAGATTCATTAAGTAGGGCTGCAAGGTGATGCAGTTAGTAGCACTGTTGCCTCGCAGCAAGAAGGTCGCCGGTTCGCATCGTGGTGGGGGCACCGGGATCTTTCTGCGTGGAGCTCGCGTGTTCTCCCCATGCAGCGTGGGTTCTCTCCGGGTTCTCCGGCTTCCTCTCACACAGTCCAAAAACATGTTGAGGTAATTGGTGATTCTAAATTGTCTGTAGGTGTGAATGTGAATGTGCTTGGTTGTCTGTCTCTAAGTGTAGCCCTGGGATAGACTGGCGACCTGTCCAGGGTGTCCCCTGCCTTCGCCCTAAGTCAGCTGGGATAGGCCCAGCTCCCCCGCGACCCTCGTGAGGATTAAGCGGTGTATAGATAATGGATAGATGGATGGATTCATTAAGTACCTCCCTTTTGCTTTGATGAAAGCTTTGCACACTCTTGGCATTATCTCAGTCAGCTTCATGAGCTCGTCTCCTGGATGGTTTTGAATGAACAGCTGTGCCTCGTCAAGAGTCAGTTTGCGGAGTTAGTTGCTTTCTTCATGTGTTTGAGACCATCAGTTGTGTTGTGCAGCAGTAGGGTTAGTACACAGTGGACAGTCCTATTTGACTACTGTTGTAGTCCATAGTATGGCAGGAACCACTCAACTCAGAAAAGAGAAACGATTGTCCATCACTAAGACATGAATGTCAGTCGATCTGGAAAATTTCAAGAACTTTGAATGTGTCCTCAAGTGCAGTTGTAAACACTAGGGCCCGACCGATTTATTGGTTGACCGATTAAATTGGCCGATTATAGCCCATTTTCAAAATACTCATAATCGGCTGGAATATTGCCAATTAAAAGCCGATATATTCTTAATTTCTCACAAAACAGTAAATGCTGTTATGTGTCACAGTCGCTTTCGTACATTCATTTTGTACAATTTGATTTAGTAAAAAGACAAATATTCTCCAAGGCAAAGGCATTTAAAACACTCAGCAACACCATGAAAAGCTCAGTTTTTGCTTGTTGTAAACAAGTCAGCCTTGGACATGGAGATGAGGAAGAGTTAAGATAGCTGACGACCGTCCAGCGGTGAGATCACTCACTCTGCCGCAAAGTCTGAAACCATAGTAGTGCATAGAGCCTCACTCTGACAGAGAACTACTAAAAACAGCTTTTGAAACTTTCTATCCAACCTTTTAACTAACTTATTCAACTTACATTTTTATTAACTTATTCTCATCAACTTTAAAGACAGCTCAGTCTTTGAGAGTCCAGAACATCAGAGGGCTGCATCAATAAAGTTCTGCAGTGACTTCACTCATTATGCTGCTTGTATACAGCAGACACCTACAGTCTAAATCTAAAGATAAAGCCATCAGTACAGCTGGTAGCTATATTCATGCTCCATAGAAAGAAAAATGCACAACGCAAATTTAAAATAAAAGACCCCACATTACAGACATATTTGTTCTGAAAACCTTTTTTTTACTGATGCACATTATGTTTAATGCTTTGTTGCATGTTTTTGTACTTGAAAATTCCTCTCTGTTGCAAACTTAAACAAATACTAAAGGACAAAGTGTAAAACAGTAAAAATGTTTTCCTGTGATTCATATGTTTGTTCTTGTAAGCATTAAGGGACCAAAAAAGAAGCTATTTATTCACTATATATATATATTTTTTTAATTAATCGGCCGATTAATCGGTTATCAGTTTTTTTTTTTTGTTTTTTTTTTGCCAAATATTGGAATCAGCATTGGCCTCAAAAAATCCATATCGGTTGGGCCCTCGTAAAAACCATCAAACACTCTGATGAGACTGGTTCTGATGAGCAGCGTCCCAGGAAAGGAAGAACAAGAGTTAGCTCTGCTGCAGAGAGAAGTTCATTCAGAGTCACCAGCCTCAGAAACCACAAATGAACAGCATCTCAGATTAGAGCCCTCAGGTTTTTCACAGAGTTCAAGTAGCAGTCAAATCTCGTGCCTTCATGGCGGAATCGCTGCAAAGAAGCCACAACTGAGGATGAACAACAAGAAGAAGAGAACTGTTTGAGCCAAGAAACACAAGAAACGGACATTAGACCAGTGGAAATCTGTACTTTGGTCTGAAGAGTGCAAATTTGAGATTTTTGGTTCCAGCCACTGTGTCTTTGTGAGACCAGAGAAGGTGAGCAGATGAAGGTTTCTACATGTGTGGTTCCCACCGTGAAGCATGGAGGAGAAGGTGTGATGGTATAGGGGGGCTTTGCTCGTGACAGTGTTGGAGATTTGTTCAAAATTCAAGGCACATAAACCAATGGCTACCACAGCATCTGGTTTGTGCTTACTGGGACTATTACTTGTTTTTCAACCAGACAATTAGCCAAACACACCTCCAGGCTCTGTAAGGGCTGTCTGACCAAGAAGGAAACTGATGGAGTGTTGTGTCAGATGTCCTGGCCTCCACAACCACCCGACCTAAACCTAGTTGAGATGGTTTGGGATGAGTTGGACCACAGAGTGAAGGAAAAGCACCAACAAGTGCCCAGCACCTCTGGGAAGTCCTTCAAGACTGTTGGAAACCATCCAGGAGACGAGCTCATGAAGCTGACTGAGAGGAATGTCAAGAGTGTGCATAGCTGTCATCAAAGCAAAAGGGGGCTACTTAATGAATCTAAAATATAAAACATATTCTGGTTTGTTTAACACTTTTTTTGTTTACAACATAATTCCATCTGTGTTCTTTCATGTCTTCAGTATTAATCTACATTGTAGAAAATAATTCAAACAAATAAAAACCATTTAATGAGAAGGTGTGTCCAAACTTTTGACGGTCCTGGACCGTCAAACCCCTACAACATCATAAATTAACTTTCATGTATTTTCCTCATCTCACATCACATCATATTACACAACATAGTGAAATATATGTGAAAGTGCAGTGATATGACTCAGAAAGATCTCATTTTCATGTAATTTTGAAGTGCTGTTTGCTGCCACATTCTCTGAACCACAGAGGCCCCGTTGCACAACCCAAAGGACGAAGGATCCAAGTTTTGAAGAATTTTCTTAACAGATAATCAGCAGCCTTTTCAGCTAATAATCAATTAAACAACATCATTCCTAAGGTATTATAACATAAAATAAGTGGCTCCAACAGGTAATACCATGGCATGGGCCACTCTAAAGGTGCAGACAATTCGCAATCAGACCACAGCGATGCTGTCATACTGCACTTCAGCTTCCCTGCAAAAGGAGAGCTCTGGCTGGTAAGCATTACTGTCACAGAAGACTTTCTAATGGTGGGGCTGGAGCCTATCCCAGCCGTGTCACGGTGAAGGAAGGTCCACCTGGACAGGTAACCAGTTTATCACAGGGCTACACTTAGAGACCGACAACCAAGCACACTCACATATCATTACAGAAATATACAAATGGTTTGGGTAATTACCCATGCTATTTATTTAGGAAAGATGTGGCATAAACCTGACATTGGGTGGTGGTCTAATACATTTGTTAAGCACTGTACTTTACTAGCCAAACTTTAACAATGCTCTCTAATTGCCGACATAGAACTGCTGGTAGTCAGAGCAACTGCCTTTTCTAACAAGTTTCTTAATTGAAAAGTTTGAAGTAATCAAGCTATCAGATAAATGGAGTAAAGAGTACAATACTTCTTTAGACCGACATAGCACCCATTTGTCTGAACAGACTTGAATGTGTTCAGAAAAAGTGAGCTAATTGTGGAATTGATCGTCATGTGAGTGGCGAGAGAAGTGTCAGTGTACCTGGGGTATTAGAATCCAGCTAAGGTTTTGTGACGCTGAGACACACAGACCTCAGCACATCCTGCCTGCCGCAACTTCAAGGCATCCTTTACTTACATGGCCTGTCCGATGTGTGAACAAGAATCAGACTGATAGAGCAGTATGTGTACAGGGCTGTAAGTTTTGTCTTGTGACTTTCACTAATAAAGAATGACACAAACTGCATCAATCAGTTATTCTCAAGATTGGTCTTCAAGTTGTGGATCTGTGGTTTGCTAAAAATTCAGAGGTGAGTAACTGCTAAGTTCTGCTTTGCAGCATGCAATGTGCACAAAGGGAACATATGCCTCCCTTGGTCGACAGACCATGAATGCAGATTGGAGTACAGATGTTGTACAAACAATGAATAACTGGCAATACGGACTACATTAACTTCTGCATGGAGAACACTGCGCCCTCCAAAGTGGTACGGTGTTTTTCCAAAAACAAACCTTCAGTGACCCCTGAGACAAAAGTCCTTCTGAACAAGAAGAAGAGGGTTTTTAGATCGGGGGACAAAGAGGAGCTGAGGAGAGTGCAGAAGGAGCTCCAGCTGAAGATCAGGAAGGGGAAGGAGAGTTACAGGAGGAAGCTGGAGGAGCGGCTGGTGCAGAACCTACAATATTATATCCAGTTTTCTCACATGCAATATACCCCTTACTGTGTGCAATATATCTGCCTTTGTGCAATAATTCTCATAACCGTACCATACTTATTCTGTACCATATTTTTATTGTATTCTATTTATCTTTTATATTTTCAATTCATAGCATCCATTATATGGACCTATAGTGTGTGTGTGTGTGTGTGTAGCTCTTTCGTATTACATTTCCCAGCTCTTACTATTTATAGTTTGTTTGTTCTCTTTTCTTCCTGTCACATTTTTGTGCTTTTTCGTGCATCTATACTGCTGCAAAAATGTGAGTTTCTCCAATGGTGGTGAAAAATAAAGTGCAATCTAATGTAATCTAATCTAATACATTGAACCAGTCTCAGAGCTATAGCTCACCTGAAACTTGCGCAGCTGGTACTTGTATACAGGTCCAACCTGAACATTCACTTCAGTGTCGAGGTCGACAAGGTACCTTCCTCTTAGGGCCAGGCTCTGCACAACTACAAACATCCAAAGACAGACACATTAACACTCACACATTTCAGTATTATTACAGACTGACATACCGCCACAGCGACGGCTTGCCTTGACTCTGAGTAATCACTTGCCATTTTATTTTGTTGAGTCGTTTAGTTTCATGCCAGTTCCATGTATCACCTGTGTTCAATCAGCCAATTACTCACCTAGGTATATATACTCCCAGCAAATGCTCTCCCCCTTTCCCGATTCTCCTTGTACTCACCAGAGTTAGGCATTCCAGCCATTCCTTGTGTTAATTTTATGTCCCTTTACGTGTCACCACAACCTACATTTTATCTTTTAAAATGAAACATCACTTGGCCTTTCCATTCTCATTTTAATACAGTCATAGAACACCCATATGTGAAAATTAAATATATACTGAATTATTTCAATTAAATTTTGATTTGTACTTAAGAAACAAATACATATTTGGAAAGTGATCATGCTATTGTGGAATAAAAAGTTCACATTTAAATTACCATTTAAATAAAGGACTAAGGACACCTTTGCAGAGGGCAGCTCACCTGACTTCATCAACTCCATAACACCCTGACCCAGACCAGATCGCTGGTCTCCCACTAGTCAGTCCAGCCCAGGCCAGGTTTCATCTTTTCTTATTTATGTCTGTGTACCTAAGTCTAACTTCCGTCTGCTCTGCCTTAGTGCCTCGACCGGTCCCCAGCCTTGCCTGGAATCTCCCCTGATCACGCACTGCTGCATCGCTACTGGAATTCCTCACTTGGAACAAGTCACTCCCCAGCTAGAAATTTTGGTTCTTGGGACGTTCTTAGAATGTTGACTGGAACGTTGTTGCAATGTTTTCAGCGGAAAGTTTTCTTTGAGTTCCGAGAACATTACGGGAGAACGTTCCCTAAAAACATTCAAAAAATGTTTTGCAATAACCCTCTTAAAATGTTAACTGACAACATTGATAATAATCCATCCATTACACACTATACACTATACACAGTTTTAATTTTTTTAAACTTTTTTTTTTGTTGCTATGGCGCCATGAGAGTGGCAGCCAGTTGCAGCGGCTCCTTCCTACTTTGTGTGTTTTTAGCTATTTACTTCGATTTGTCTTGCATCTTTTTAATATTTAAATTTCACACAGCTGTACCCCATTTGTGTGGGAACAGTGGCGATGCAGATGGCATTTTTGTTGGTGTGTTCTTTGCTTTGTGCGAGTTTTTGGGGTCCGCTCTGGTGAGCCATTGAGCCATGGCTCTATTGTTTTTATACCCGCAAACAGCTGTTGGCGCTGAGCCAGGCCAAGCCACCGTTGTGAGAGAGACCGAAAATCCCCAACGAGCTGGAGGAAGAGGGGATGCAGTGCAAGAGTGAAGCGTCGGCAGAAGGGGAGACACTACAAGCTGTCCGTCCGTCCATCATCATGGGATACGTAAAGTCTCTCCCTAACGGATGGAAGAGCTAACAGCTAACAGCGCTGACCCGGCTGCAGTGGGAGTATCGGGAGTGCAACCTCATGTTGTTCACAGAGTCATGGCTGAACGAACTCACTCCAGACTTGCTCTTAACTCTGGACGGATTTCACCTGGTCAGAGCGGACCGGAGCTGGAGGGAGAGTGGTAAGAAGAAAGGCTGGGGACTCGCCATGTATGTGAATGAGAGGTGGTGTAATGCTGGCATGTTAGCATTAAAGAGCAGCGCTGCACAAAGGATGTTGACCTGCTGGCGGTTGGTTTGAGGCCGTTTGACCTGCCGAGGGAGTTTTACCACATCCTGGCGATTACAGTTTACATCCCCCCCTCGGCTGATGCTGCTGCGGCTTGTGAACTCATCCATAGTTAAGTGTCCCAGCTGCTAACATCACACCCTCAGTCTCTGATCGTCATCTCAGGAGACTTTAACCATACATCGCTCTCTACCGCTCTCCCCACATTCAGCCAGCATGCAGACTGCCAACCAGAGACGGTGGGGCCTTCGACCTGCTGTGTCACCAGTCTATCACAGGGCTACACTTAGAGACAGACAACCAAGCACACTCAAATTCACACCTACGGAATTACCAATTAACCTCAACAAGCTGGAGAACCCAGAGAGAACCCATGCTGCACGGGGAGAACATGCAAACTCCATGAAGAAAGATCCTGGATGTCTGAACTGGCGACCTTGCGATCATTGACCAACCCACTCTACCACCTGAGCCACAGCTGCCACCCTAGACCATGATGCACAAATGTGGTTGTGATGTTTTTCAGCAGGAAGTTTTCTTTGAGTTTCCAGAATGTTCTGGAATAATTTTCTCTAAAAACATTCTAAAACTGTTTTGCAATAACCCTCTTAAAATGTGAAATGACAACATTGCTAGAATAATGAACTTTTAGGAGAACCTGTAGGGAATGTTAGTCAAAGTTGTGGGAACATTCGCTGCTAGCTGGGTCAGATCTCCTGCCTGCCTCGGCCACCCTATGCCTCCACTGGATGCTACCCTCTACACATATGCCAATCACTGCCTCACAGACTACCTGTACCGAAGCTAAGTTTACCGAGCCTCTAGCCCAGTGTTCTGCTGGCTCATTTCCTCATCGCTAGCCCAGTTCTTGTTCTACTCATTGTTCCACTCTTGTAGAACAATGTGCCTTGTGATCTGGTTTCAGTTAGCTCTTGATAGAGCTTAGTGTTTTTGTGTTTTAATGTGGATGGAGATTTAAATAGTTTCGAAAAACACCTGTATGTGTATGGACTAGGGCTTAATAAATGTGGTCCAGAGAGTTGTACCTCCAGGGTGGAGAAATGTAATGTGTCCTGTTCCAGAGTTTTTATCATATTCCACTCTCTCCACCTCTCCGCCTCCTCTGCTGGGCCTGGAGAAACTAATCTCAAGACGGTCCGTCATTCTCTCATCTGGCAGGGAAGGTGGGATATTGGAAACTTTCAGCTCTTTTCTGGAAACATCAAGGTGAACCTAGATTGATGAGAACACACACTGATTACAGGAGAACACAGAAAGGACATGGAAGATCAATTACAGTGTGAACAGACCGGACACACGGACGAAGCACTATTTTTCTGTATGTCGGTACTGTGAGATATACTCTGAATTCATTCTGTTAGTGTGTTGGTGAAAATAAAAGTACATTTGATATGCTGGTTGGGACACATTTTGTGGCTGTTGTACTTTGAAAATGAGAAAAACCTTTGCATATACTTCTGCAAAATGAAAACCAGATGTTAAGAAATAACTAAATATCAAAATATTCATTTCACAAGAAGAACCATGATTAAAACTGTAAATGTCAAAAATATCAAAATCACATTAATAAAGACTAGATTAACGTTAGCGTACCTGTTTGTAAATGTTGCCTGCTGCTTTCATGTTCGCAGTTCCTTAGCTGTTTTGTTGCCCCTATTCTGATCGTAATGAACTGAGTTCATAAATCAGTTTTTACAGGAACCAGTAATGCCAGATAACATGACTGATACGTAATGTTGATAATTGTATGGAGCTCCTTAGTAACAGCAGTGCAACATGTCTAACTGTTAAACCTGCTCACAAAGAGATTCTTCAGGAGCCTGGGAAACTTACTAATCAGGAGCTGCAGTGTGTGATACCAAATACTACAGGTCATCCATATTAAAAGTGTTTCGTTCATTTGTCTACTCATCGCTCTTACACAATATTGTTTGTTTCTCCTTTGTTGGTCAATAATGCAAAATATCTGATCACGGTTCCTGTGTTGAAATATGACTTTTTAATGAGCTATAGTTTTGTTTTTGTCATGAAAAAAAAGTTGTTCATAATATCAATGATACATCATTGTTTTTGTTTTTTTTGATAAATTTAACAGAAAGCAGAAAAGCACCACAACTGTCTAAGAATATACCTCAAACTTCACAGCAGGATCCATGGTGATTCTTCTTGGTTTCACATCTAAAATGGCAGTCTCACAGGACACAGAGCACTTGGCAATCTTCAGAATCTGAGAGGCAACTGCAAGGATCAAGAACATGATAGAGAAATGTCTGTCAGTGTAATTCTACTGTGCACTCCATGTTGTGTGGTTGAATGACACTGAAGTTCACTTTACCAGACTTACTCTGATTACAGAGAGGTACAGTAAGTCAGGTATGTTGGTACAACTGCATCCCATTGGCTCCAGTAATGAAAAACACAGCACTGCCCCCTGCTGGCTGAATAGCAACATCAACCAAAATCCACTAAACAACTACTGAGGAGGCAGCTGTGTTGGGTTCTTTCACAGACAGTGAGGAGTGTTAAGAGCTTAGCTTTCAGGCCACTTATTTGAACAATAATGCTGTGGGTATTCTGGTAGATTAATCATAACAATTGGA